TTATTTGAATGAGAAAGAATAAGCATAGTAGAACTTCAGACTGTTTAGACGGAAAAAGACTAGGAAAGTCAAGTTTGATCAAGGGAGTAATATTGTATTTCAATGTGTATATGTTATGTGCTTGTGTAGGTCACGCGCCACTGTCTGCCTGATTTATCTGATATGTCCAGTCTGTCTGATTTGCTTCTGCAGCCATCTGTGAGTAATAACTTAGTAAAGTTATGTTCAACTGTACTTATTTTCTGTGTGACAAAATGAGATCTATTTTCTGAAATGATATGTTCTGTACAATGAATGATTGTCCAATTTCTGATATCTATTTGTGACATCCTTAGCATCATATGATATCTATTAGCTGTTACCCGGTATCGGAGGTTCCTTTATGGAACTTAATCTGTCAGCACTCTGTTACCCGTACCGGAGGCCCCATCATGGGGGCTCAGCTTCTGTTCTGTTACCCAGATCCGGAAGTTCCTTTATGGAACTGATTATTTGTAACCTCACGTGTATATGTTCTGTTCTGTTCTGTTAATGCTAATGGATGTATCACGTATGCTTGCGCATGACTTATGATTTTTGTCTGTATATGATCTGGACAAATTATGATTTTGATATGAAACTGAATTATGATTTCTGAATCTTTTCGGACTCATTCATTGAAACCCCTTTACTTTGTTATTGTACACTGAGCTTTCGCTCACAGTTTATATTATGTATGTAGGTGAGTTGGCGTGTGATTAGGGTCAGAGTTGACGGCTTTCATTTCTGTTTTTGTCAGCCAACCTATGTGCCTCCCGTGGAGGTCCCGGATATGTCAAGTGATTATCGCTATGTGATTTAAAGTTTAAGTTCTGTTTTCTTGTTTGGTTAAACCAGTCTTGTGTGTTTTCAAAAAGGTGCTAAGTCCTTTTTGTCTGATTTGTACATATATTATGATGTAGGGATGATGTGTATATATGTATATACAAAGTTTAAAGTTTTTCTGTCTCATATAAGTCTGCACAGCTCAATGGACGTTGTATATTGTTATTTGCTTCCGCTAGCCCCTAATATTATGTTAATCTGTCTCAGAGGCCTTCGGTAATCCCAGGATTACTGGCCGGTTACGATGCTAAGCCTGTAGGGGCAGGTTTGGGTCGTGACATGGACATTGTGTATGCAACCCTTGCGCACCTTGGCTTGCATCATTATTATTATAATTAATGCTCTAATCATTAGTGTTGTAATTATTATTATTGTTTATTTGTAATTTTTATGGCTAGTTAGCTAGTTTATTTCTCATTACTATCCTTGTTATAATAGAGTAGTTAGCTAGTTAATTCTTTACTTAATTATTCATTCGGTTTTGTAATAATTAGTTTAATTCGGACTCTTGGACTTTGATTCACACCCTCTTGCACGAGGGCAAATGTGTAATAAGTTGTATGTCTTCCAACCCGACGTCTTTCTCCATTTTACTTATTTGTTTACGATGATTAGTATAGAACATCATTTTTCAAAATTAGCATTCTTATGCTTTGTATCCATTGTCTTGCATGCATCCAAGGTTCGGCTCATCATACTAACCAAATATTTAAATTCATTGCTTGAATACGTGATCCATCACATGTCTTGAATGAATAATATGCCACGTTCATAGCCGAGCCTATTAAAATTACATAACGTGTGCGTTACATTTAGTTATATTGCTTTAGTTAGGAGCATGTATATTTACTAATTATTTTGCCTTGTTTTGGCTCGGAGTACTAGGTAAGCAATTTTGAGTTTTAGCATCTTGCATCAATTGTTTGAGTTGCCATGATAAACATATTTCCATGAGGCTAATTACTTAAATGATATACCTATTTGAATACTAGTGAATGGAGGCTAATTGCCAAAATTGGGATAAGTTGATTAATGTACATACAAACTTACCTTTTCAAGTGACGCGTATTAAAAACAATTTTCAAACATGCATGAAATAGTGTTTCAATTTTTGCAAATTAGTCTATACTTGTATGCATCACATAGTAATGTTAGGCTAATAACCAGAACAAAAGCGTATAATGTAAATAAAAATCACATCATGATTAGTAGGGGTAGGCAACGGTTTATCCGACCCGCACAACCTACCTAAGCTGGTCCTACCCACATAAATCTGACCCTATCCACATGCGTAAATAGGGCGGATACGGGTCTATTTTTTCATATAAAATCGGGTTCAGGTCAGACCTGACCTTATCCGTGCAAATCTAAAACCCGCCCGCATAATCCGCAGATTATGTTTAAAATTAAAAAAAAAAAAATCTCTTCACATGTTCAATTCATTTTTTTGATCCTCTCATTTTTTTATCCTCTTTTCTCTCTCTCTACCTAGTTGTTTCTCTCTCTTTCTCTCATCTAGGTTTCTTTCTTTCTCTCTCTCTCTCTCTCTCTCTCTCTCTCATCTCACTTACCTCTTTCTCCCTCTGTCGCCATCGCCGTCGCCGTCACTGTCACCGTCACCACCACCATCTCTCGCCCCTTGCTCATCGTCTCTTTCATCTCCTCTCCTTTGCCATCTCTCTCCTCTCATCTACCGCTGTTGTCGTCGTCGTCGTCTTTCACAAATCAACCTTACTCCATCACCGTCGTCTCTCCATCTCTTCCTCTTTTCCCTGTCGCAGTGTCACCGTCGCCCAATCGCAAAGTAGATCTAGAGATCCCAGATCTAGAAGATCTACTACACACCAAAAAAAAAAGTTTCATTGCACGAATGAAGGTACCCAGATCTAGAATCCTCCTCATTTGCTTGCAAATTTCAAGTCAGCAAATTCATCTCAATGGTTGTCCTCTGTTTTGTTTAAAGGGAAATTCTATGTATTTGGGATTTGCTCATGCTTTGTTTCATCTTTTGATTTGAACAAACATTTTTGGACTGACGTCGAGACATTTAGGCCTCTTGGGGTTTTGTTTTCATTCTTGGTTTCTTGTCAAGATCAACTTGTATTAGCTGGATTGTGCAATGGCCCTCGTGGCCTGTTGTTTAATTTGTGGAAGATTGATGAGAAAATAATGGAGTTCAGTGAGATAGCAATCATGCCTTAGGACTTGCTTTATTGCTTGCTTGATAGTGATGGGTTTGTAACTTTTGTCTTCTTTTATTTAATAAAAGAAAATGCTTTTGATTGTGTTTTGTTGTGGGCAAGATGATATAGATCTAGATAATATGACTTATGAGGCAAGTTTATAGATATACACTACAATTTTTTTCATTTTGTTGAGTAAATTTCATACTAAATTCAAAGCAAAAAGTTATAAATATTTCACAGTCTAATTTTTGTCCTATACAGAACCTCCAACTGCAGTTGAAGCAAAAAAATAAAATTTCAAAAAAAAAAAAATTCTAATTCACAAACCGCCCCGCAACCGCCCGCACAACCGCATGACCTACCTGTTTGATCCACAACCCACACTGCGGGGGGACGCGATTCCATTTTATCCCAACCCGCACCCCATCGAGTGGGTCTAACACGTCATCCAAACCACACAGAACCGATCCGTGAACACCCCTAGTAAAGGCCGATCTTTGATTGGGCGAGTGTGGTGCTCAATTCATGACATTCCTTCTCGTACCCAAATTATCAAGCCAAGACAACTTTAGTGATGACGGATAAGTGACATTTAGCACGAGTCTCGGATTTCCTAAATTTCTTTAAAATATTTAGTTGATGATTCAGTAATCTGACAAAGCAATTCATTTTTGACATTTGATTCAAACATCAATTTTCTTAAAAGAATTGTCAAATTTAGACTTTTTTGAATTTTTATTGTTTTACATTGCACTTATAAAATCAGATTCAGAATCACAGGAGTCCGAACTGTATGGCTAATCATATCCAAAGGAGTATAAAAAGTAAGCTACGGATACAAATAAACTAATAAATTGATTTTTTTTTTCCTTCTTTCTTCTCTCTCACTGAGTTGGACACTACGGGCCAACAACTTTTGTCTGATATAAACCACGCTTTCCTTATCAAAAAAGAGGCCTTATCTCCCATGGGAGAAGAGTCACATCCAAATGAAAAAGTTCGCACTAGTTTCTGGGTTTTATCTTTCAAAAATGTTTTAAAATTTTAATTTATAAACTCTAATGAAAAATGTTTTGTAGCTCGAAAGTTCCTCCTCCCGAATCTACCGACTGCCCAAAACGACATTGTTTTGGCCAGTTTATTTATTTTTTATTTTTTTATTTTTCTAAAACAGAGGGAGAGAGGGAGAAACAGAGGAGAGGAGAGAGGGAGAAAGAGAGAGGAGGAGAGGAGAGAAGGGAAACAGAGAGAGAGAGACGGCGGGTGCGACGGTGGGTGTGGCGATGGCGGTGTGAGCGACGGTGGATATCGATCGCAGCTCATCGCTCGTGGCAGCTCGTCGGCCGATCGTCTGCCTCCGCCCGGTTGATATTGCCCCCTCCAGTCCTTCTTCTTCTTCCTTCTTCTTCTTCTCTTGATTTTTGGTTGATTCGGGGGGCTCCAAATTCGAGCTCCCTAACACGGCTCAACTCTAATAGCTTTGATATGTATATAAAACTTATCTAATGTGATCTTTTAATCTTATTTTATTTTATTTTTATTTTTTATCTCCCTAGAGCTTAATTAAAATTTCTAATTTTAAAAGTGAACTCAATTAAAATTCTAATTTTAGAAGTTGAATATATCGCCGTTGTTTATCTTCAGTTGGCAGTTGCATAAGACTACTCAACAAGACAAGTCGAGACAAACTTTGCTACAATGATTTTTAAATTTTATCAATTTAAAAAGCTTATAGAGATGGCATGAGATTTACCTCAATCCGACAATAGTTTGTCATATTGTTCACCATTTCTTGTCGTTTCAAATCTGGTATTTTTGTGAACAGCTTCTTTTTTTTTTTTCCAAGACGTTAGAAACGATAGTCTTTTTGGCTTAACCACTGACCAAAATGAAATGGCTGATGAACACATCCAAGGCAACTCAGAGAGGGCTAAGAACAATGGTCAAAAATGACGACAACAAAATGAGTTCTCCTTTTCATTCAAATTCTTCATTTTTCTCTTTTCTTTTAATGTTTTCTCAAACAGTCTTTCTAGCTAACTGGAGATGAAAAGACGTTAGAATGAACAAGGCAAGATACAAGAGTTGAAACCTTGCTCTATACAGAAATTACAAGCGACAACTATGTGACAACTACTTTGGTAGGCTGGCTTTGAATACACTACACACTCCAGGCCAGTGAAATTTCCACCAGTGAAATTTCCATCGATCTTTACATTCAACGGGGCTGCTGAATGCGACGGGTGCTTGATTTTGGGCTCACACACTTTGCCGGCTTCTCCCAATACCTTGCTGATTCTAGGGACCTGGGACTTTTTTCCTTCAAAGATTTCGACAAGCTCAGATTCTTCATCATTGCCTCAGCATCCATTGCCAAACCTGAAAGCCAAAAGACGAGTTAGTTAATCTAGAGCAATGGGTGTGTTGAGAATATTATTAGAATGTATTCGAACCACAAAAAAATGGAATATATTTCTATCAAGTTTCAAAATATTTCCAGTACTTGATGTCCTCCTGAATAGAAGCAATTTTTGGTTTCCATAGCTCTATCATAGTAAAAACACTGCACCAATTTGAGAGAGACAGAGTGAGGCCCCTCACCATTTTGCGGTACACCTTTCATGGAAGAGAGAGATGATTTACTTGCTTCTGCAGCCTCAGATGACAGAATGAATTCTTCAAACTGTGCTTCCATAATTGAGAACTCATCATCAATGCTAAGATCAATTGTATCTGGCAACAGATCAACAACATCATTGCCACTGAACTCATCCTCTCCATTGCCATAAAAACCATCCTCTCCCTGTTGCTGGCTGAGCCAGTAATCACGGAACCATGAAGCAGTGGTAACCAGTTCCCACCATTCTGGCGAGAAATCCTCAACTTGACGAACAGCAGCTGGGATAAAGAGAGGTGCATTTGGGTTCAATGTAGACCTGCCTCCAGAAACTAATGCCATCCCACCTTTCAATCACTCCAAACCACTCCTTAATTCGTAATCGAAAGTAACCTAAGAAGGTAAGAATACATTAGGAAACTGGGACTAAAAAGGGATCAGGTACACATTGATCAAATTCAAGACAATATTCAAAGAACCATCATTTTCAAGAAACTGCATTTAGTTAACAACATCCAGCAAACTCAACCTAAAAGAAAAAAAGGAAAAGAATATAATACAAACATTTTCACATCAAATTGAGAACTCTCTTTTTGATTTTTTTTTTTTTTTTGACACTGAAAGCCTACTTTAGCCTAGTCAAGGGGGAAGGGGATTGAACTGCCACAGAAGCTAGAACATAGAGCCCGAAAACTGGACCACTCTCTGTTGCTCCCTCTTATGGATTAAATATCAGAAAATCAAATTTCACTGTAATTCCGAAGACTTTTTACATAAACACTTCCTAGGAAAAATAGCAAAGAACAGTCATTTCATCCAAGCAAATATTATTCGTTTCATTTTAATCTCCTCGGGTTATTTGTTGATCAACCAATGCATTGATCAAAGCGCCAACTCCGAGACCAAAAATTGCACTTGTATTTGTTTCAAAGCACATCATAGCAAAAACGGAAAACACTATGGTACACACACATATATACCTTATAACTAAAAACAACACAAAATGGCATAAATTCATATTTTACAAGTCATAACTAATATAAAAAAAAAATCATAACTAAACACAACATGAGGTACAACTAAAGAACTCCTCAAGTTGTTGATCAACCAATAAATTCTTCAAAGTGCCTACTCTGAGACAAAATATTGCACCTGTCTTCATTTCAAAGCACATCATTTCCATCACAAACCAATTATTAAAGTAAACCTTCTATCCCCTATCACCTGGCCACGCCCGCCCAATAATAAGACATTTATGACCATCTTATCTAAAAACAAAAAATTAGAAAACAAAATGATCTCGTGTCTCGTTATTATTGAAGAAAGACGCCATGTGTACTATAGGATAGATCAAACCTATTAAATAATCCCTCCATTCAAAGACAAATCATGTTTCCCACCTATTTCATGCCTAAACATAAACAACGATTCAAAAAAACAAAAAAAAAAAACTACAAAAACAGAGATCATTTTTGCTGAATTTACGATCAGACCAATTGATAACTAGCTTTGATAAGCACATATTTATAAGCAATATATAAGCACATATTTATCCCCAAAACATCAAGAATTACAATCAGAAAAACTTAAGCATATATAGATACATAAAACCATATATAAAAAAAAAAATTAAATAAAAAATAATAATTAAAAAAAAAATTTAAAAAAACCCTACAAAAACAGAGATCATTTTTGCTGAATTTACAATCAGACCAATTGATAACCAGCTTTGATAATGAACTTCAAACAAATCCATCAATAACACAACATATAAGCACATATTTATCCCCAAAACATCAAGAATTACAATCAGAATAACTTAAGCATATACAGATACATACAATCATACAGTTTTTAAGTCAAACATAGTCATCGGGCCACATAATCCACCCTTACTCGATCAAAACACCGAAGAAAACTCAATTCAAGTTCAGATCAATAGTCAAATCACTTCATGTCTCATCAAAACCCTAAAAACTCAAACAAACAGTTCAAAATTCATTTCCACAACACAGAATCGATCACGCGCTTCAAAAATCATCAGATCTATCGATCACAAATCGATCAATATAAATACAAATATACACATATATAGAGATTTGACTGTACCTTTGAAGAACCAACGAAGACGAACAAAAATATCTGACTTTTGATCAAAACCTATCTGATACCACTCTCACCGTGAGATACGCAGGTTCAGGGTACAATAGGGTCGGTATTTATAGAAAAGTCTGCCGACCCTAGAAGAACGGGGAACGAAGCTGAGGCTCGGGGTCGCGGAACGGGCCCATTGATTAATTTGGGTGAGGACCGGCTATAGCCGGTGGGCTTACGGGGTTTACCAGTCAGCAGCCGGTGATAGAGTTGGCGTGTACAGTTGTTATTTAAGTCTCTATACCGTGTGTACGGTGTGGAGAGTGGGACCTACTACTCCATGTGAGGTTAGTTTGAGGATTATGAGAGGAGACTGCCTAATCGACGGATGAGAATGTTTTGGTTTTGATCTAACGGTGACGATTGGTGGAAAATAGTTGGTATCTTGGTGACAGTCGTTTTCACGTGGGGACGGGGTTAGCGGGCTCGCAGTGCCCGATAATGCGCGTAATCCACATGGCATGTTGGTCGGTGTGGTTAAAGCATGATGATAACATGCCTTGTGTGTATCGAAAAATATAAAAATATAAATATTCCTATATTTTATTAGCCTCCGTTTGAAGAGCGGATTGATTTTTTGATTTTGACTTGATTTAAGAAGTGGGTTGACTTTTTAGTTTTTTAATTTTTTTAATTATTTTAGTCTGAGCTAAAAAGTTTAGTTTGAGAAGAGCTTTTTGACTTTTTGATTTTTTTGACTTTTTTTGTGAGAGAAGAGTGTAATGATTATGGGTTGAATGTGATGTTTTGTTTTTTGTGGCTAAAATAGTCTATTTTGTCTTTTGTGGCTAAAATAGCCAAAAAAAACCCCAACCCAACTTGCCAAACAGAGCCTTTTTGATTTTTTTTACCTATTTTAATCTGGACTAAAAAGTTTGATTTTAGGAAGGACTTTTTAACTTTTGAGATTTTTTGATTTTTTTGTAAGAGAAGAATGTAATGATTATGAGTTGAATGTGATATTTTATTTTTTGTAACTAAAATAGCCTATTTTGTCTTTTGTGACTAAAATAGCCAAAAAAATTCCCGTTTAGCTCCAAACGGAGCCTTAGATTTTTTTTAAATGTTAATATTATTTTATAAATCAAACCAAGCCTTAAGTCCCATCAAATGGAGTCAGCTACATGAATCCTTCTTCTCCACGCAGTCCTATCAAAGGCCATATTATTAGTCAAATTAAGTAGATTCATATCTCCATTTATAACGCTAGTCAACGTTAATCTAGGCCTACCCCGTCCCCTAACACTTCCATCTACCGTTACAGTATCGCATCTCTTCACTACTGCCTCTATTGGTCTCCGTTGAATATGACCAAACCATCTCAAACGATTCTCTCTCAACTTATCTTCTATCGGTGCTACTCTTACCCATTCTCAAATACACTCATTCCTAATCCTATGTTGTCTAGTCTTACCACACATCCACCTTAGCATTCTCATCTCAGCCACACTCATCTTATCTACATGTTGTTTCTTGGTTACCCAACACTCCGTCACATACAACATAGCTGGTCTAATAGCCGTTCTATAAAACTTACCTTTTAGTCTAGTGGGTATTCGTTTATCGCACAATACCCCAGACGCACTTCTCCACTTACACCATCCTGTCTTAATCCTATGGGCCACATCTGCATCAATCTCTCCCGCTGTTGTGATAATCGACCCTAAATAACCAAAATGTTCACTCTTAGGCAGTTCTTGGTTCTCAATCTTCACTTCTCTTCTGCTTTCATTGTTGTTGTTACTAAATTTACACTCAATGTACTCTGTCTTAGTTCTGCTTATCCGGAATCCTTTAGATTCAAGAGTTTTTCTCCAAATCTTCAACTTGTGTTAACTCCTTCTCTAGTCTCATCCACTAACACAATATCGTCTGTAAAAAGCATACACCGTGGTACGTCATCCTGAATATTTATCGTCAACTCGTCCATAACTAAAGCAAAAAGATAAGGGTTTAAGGTAGATCTTTAGTATAACCCTACAGTGATAGGAAATTCATTTGTCTCTCCAACTAGCGATCTAATAATGGTCACCACCCTTTCATACATGTCCCTAATCACGTCAATGTAGCCTTTTGTTACCCATTTCTTCTCTAACACCCACCATATTATATCTTGGGGCACTCTGTCATATGCTTTCTCAAGGTCGATAAACACCATATGAATGTCCCTTTTCTTTTCTTTATACTTTTCTATAACTCTCCTCAAAAGATAAATCGCTTCCATTGTTGACCTACCAGGCATAAACCCAAATTGATTCTCTGACACCTCTGTTATGTCTCGCAATCGGCGTTCCATCACCCTCTCCCACACTTTCATTATATGACACATTAGCTTGATTCCTCTATAGTTGTTACAATTCTGGACATCACCTTTATTCTTATAGATTGGTACTAAAATACTCTTCCTCCACTCATCTGGCATGTTCCTAGTCAACAAAATTTTGCTAAACAACCTAGTCAACCAAGCAACTCCCTTTTTACCCAAACACTTCCAAGCTTCAATAGGGATATCATCGGGTCCTAAAGCCTTATTTGATTTCATCTTCTTAAGTGCAATCTCCACTTTAAAGTTCCTAATCCTGCAATAAAACCTATAGTCTTGGTTTATCGTATTACTAGCTATTTCTTCCCCTATTGTCGTACTTCCATGTTCCTTATTTAACAGTTTCTCAAAATAATTCTTCAATCTTTCCTTAACCTCATCATCCTTCACCAATACCTTAAAATCCTCACTCTTGATGCACTTTACTTGATTAACATCTCTTGTTTTCCTCTCCCGTATCTTAGCAAGTTTGTATACCCTCTTCTCTCCCTCCTTACTATCTAGTCTAGTGTATAGGTCATCATAAGCTTTCAGCTTAGTCTCTTTCACTACTTTCTTGACCTCCTTATTAGCCAATCTATAGCTCTTAAGGTTTTCCTCAGTTTTATCCTTCTGTCATTTTTTAAAGCACTCTTTTTTTGCCTTAACTACCGCTTGAACCTCTTCCCTCCACCACCAAGTTTCCCTAGAGTTGGGTCCCGTTCCTTTCGACTCTCCAAGCACTTCCCTTGAGATTCTCCTCATACAATTGGCCATCGAATTCCACATAGTGTTAGCATCACCTTCTAAGTCCCAAGTACCTTCCTTATCCATTCGATTTTTAAATATTTCTAGTTTATCTCCTTTTCGGTCCCACCATCTCGTCCTACGACGCCCACCATCCTTCCTAGCTTGGTATTGCCCTCTAAAACATAAATCTAGTACCAAAATCCTATGTTGAGCGACCAGACTCTCTCCAGGAATCACCTTACAACCATTGCATTTTAGGCAGTCTACTTTTTTCACTAAGAAGTAATCTATTTGGCTCTTAACTAATCCACTCTTAAAGGTTATCAAATGCTCCTCCCTCTTCTTATACATAGTATTGGCCACCACCAGGTCAGAAGCTAACGCAAAATCTAAGATTCTCTTTCTAGCCTCATTTCTGTCACCAAAACCGTATCCACCATACACCCTTTCATAACCTAGTTTATCTATGCCCACATGGCCATTAAAATCTCCACGTATAACCAAGTTCTCTCCTACGGGTATCTCCTGTAAGATTTCATCCATTTGCTCCCAAAAATCCCTCTTAGTCTGATCATCTAACCCTACTTGAGGGGTGTAAGCGCTAATAATGTTCACTATATTTCCTCCAATAACTAGTTTAATTAGCATAATCCTATCTCATTTCCTAGTGATCGCCACCACACTTTCCACAAGATCCTTGGCAATTATGATTCCTATCCCATTCCTGCGTCTATCCTTACCACTATAATAAAGTTTAAAACCAGTATTCTCAATTTCTCTAGCTTTCTCTCCCGTCCACTTAGTTTCTTGTATGCAAGCTATACTAACTCTCCTCCTAATCATAACATCTACCAATTCCATCGTCCTACCAATTAAGATTCCTATGTTCCAAGTGGCTACCCTAAACCTATAGTCTTGGACTAGCTTCTTTATCCACGCTTGTCCAAAAAAAAGCGAAAACCTTTGCCCATTTTCACCGCACCCAAGCGTCGATGCGGCGTTCCTTGCTCACTTTTCGAAACACCCGGAGGCAGGCGCAACGCGTCACTTGAGGGGGAACGACCTAGCATTTAATCGATTCAAAGTAGGATTCATTTTCATAAGGGATCCGAGCGGCTTTTTTACGTGTTGGCTGTCGGCTACCTAACACACAACCCTCCTCCTTAACTCGGGTTTGGGACCGGCAGAATTGTTAATATTATTTTATATAGTATTAAAAAAAAGATAAATTACAAATATATTTTTTAAAATTTGTTTGAAATTTATTTAAAATATAAATTAATTTATATAATTTTAAAAATTATATCTCACCGATCCAAGTTTCTAATCACGTAACAATTGACTCCTTTTATAATAAATTATCAAACAATTAATAATTTTTAACGATATCAAAAATATATTTCAAATAACAATTTATGTAATTTTATTATTATAGGAATTTTTTTTTATTAATTTTATCAAATAAAAATTTCCAATAAAGGAGTAGTTGTAAGTTTTAGAGCCACAAGGGTAATTTATGTTTTAAGTTAATTTTAGGGATGTATTTATAATTTATACTTTTAAAAATTACATTATATTCCTTCAAATTTCTAATCATATAAAAAAATGACCATTTTCGTTAATAATTATTAACTCAGTTAATTTTTTTAATTATGTCAATAATATATTTCAATTACTAGTTTTAGTAATGTTTTCATTTTTTTTATTAATTATGTTAAATGACAAATTCTACTATTTATAATTTCTAAAATTATAAAAAATAATATATATTTTAAATAAATTTTAAGGCCTCGTTTGGGAACATGCTAATTTAGTAACTTTTTAGCTATTTGGCTAAAATATGAGCTAAAAAAACTAGTATGTTTGGGATGGCTTTTTGGTTTTTTACGAAAAGATGTGCAAAAAGTAGAGAGAAAAGAAAATCTTTGACTTTTTGGTATGAGTTGTTGGCTTTTTGACTAATTTAATAATTTTTTAACTAAAAAAAAGGATTTCCAAACAAGCCCTTAGATTTTAAATCCCCAAGTGAAACAAGAAAAGATTTATTTTTAATTTATTCT